TTTGTCGATATCGTTCGGTATTTCCCATAGGTATTGTATTTATAGTCTATTTACATGTACATATTATCATGGAGTGTTAGGCGAGAAGGGAGGTCAATTAAGCGTAAACTCAGTAATACAATGAGTATAAGTTCCTGGAAAAAAAGGACGAAGAAATAAGGTTCAGAAGATAGATTAGAGAAAAGTTGATCGATCCTTTGAATCTGAAAAGAAAAAAGAAAAAAGAAAAGAAAAGAAAAAATAAAGAGAGAACAGTTTGTCACGGATTCTACGCTATGCGTGAATTTTTATATTTTACAAGGAAAAAGATAGAAACGAGAGAAAAAGAAAAAAAAAGATTAAAAAAAAAAAAAAAAGGAAAAAGAAGAAACGTTTTCTAAAATTATCTCCTAAGAACAAAAGAGAATATTTAATAATAGCAATGATAATAATAATGATGATAATGATGATGATGATGATGATGATGATGATGATGATGATGATGATGATGAAAAAAAAAAGGAAATATAGGAAAAAATAAAAGTCACATTATTATTTATGTGTGAATAAAAATTCTTAGATGACATTAAAAATCCAATTGCTATACTTTCATAGATTAATTAGGCTTGAATTTACATATATATATATCTAGTTTGACAAAGGTGAGCATTAAGTTCTAACAACGAGCTGAAAATCATAATCGGCCTAAAAAAAAAAACAAAAAAAAGAAAAAAAACAGAGAGAAAGGAAAAAAAGAAAAAGATAAGAAAAATGACGAAATCGAATTCTCGAAAACTTTTATAACGTAAGTAGAAATAACGATAGTGCCATTTCCCTTTTTCTTTTTCGTTTTTTTCTCTTTTTCTCTCTCTATCTCTCTCTATCTCTCTCTCTTTCTCTTACTTACAGGGTGGACCATAGAACTTTTTTCTTAGACGGGAAAAAAGTTTTTATAACTGGGGCAAAAGTTTCTAAATGATATTAAACGTCAATTTACATTTTGTTTTTTTTTTTTTTCTTTTTTTTTTTTCTTCCCTCGATACTTATGCTAATAATACGTCAAACTGGCGTAACATTAAGATCTTTGAATGATTGCAAATAATCATTAAAAGAAATAATCGATATTTTTGTCGTCGTCGTCGTCGTCGTCGTTGTTGTTGTTATTGTTATTGTTGATTGAAAGAAAATCATTAAAAAAAATTTCATTGATTAACAAGAATAATGTTAATCATTTCATAAGTAATAGCAATGATAATAATTGATTTTTTATTGAATTTTTGATAGGTCTCGTCAATAGAGGAGACTCATTCAAACGAAGAAGATCACGATCGAATTCTTTGGCACCTGCGGAACAGGAAACGGAAGAAACGAATTCCTTGCCACCGAAGGAGGTCATATCGTATAACGTAGCCATTTTGGGAGCAAGGAGAGTTGGAAAGACAGGCTTGATTGGCCAATTCATGACGAGTGAATGTATTAATGCCTATGACAGGCAAAGAGGTAAGTGTCTATTTTTATTTCATCAAAGTAACGTAAAGAGGATTATCGTTAAAAGACTTTATCAAATTTAAATCCCCTCTGTTGTTGCCTTGAAAGTTTCTATACGCGTTACACGTGAATGCACTTCTTGAAGAAGAGTGGATTTAAGTTAATTGAAAGAAATGGGAGATTCGGCGTACGAAATCCAATAACAATGAAAAATTATTTTGCGGACGTGTCGATCTATTTAATTCTTTTTTTTCTGATTTTTTTTTTCTTTTTTCTTTTTTCTTTTTTTTTTCGAATTTGATCGAATTTTTTTTAACCCACCAGAATATATATATATATATATATATATATATATATACCAGTATATATATATATATATATAATTAAATTCCATTAACTAACACAATGACGATGTCATTCAAAAAATTTTTTCTCATTCTCAATTTTTTTTTTTTTCTTTTTTCTTTTTTTTTTCCTTTTCTCACTTTGCAAAATTAATCGTAAACGTTGAGTTAACGTTGAGAGAATGAAATTCACGAAGCTATCTCCTTTCACGCATTCGCTTTCAAATTTTTAGAATAAACCTTTAGAATAAAATTCATTTTCAAAATGTATTCTTTGTGTTCCGTGTGTATAAAAAGAAGAAGAAAAGCGAAAAAGAAACAAAAAAAAAAAAGAAAAAGAAGAAAGAAAGAAAGATAAGGGAAAAGAAGAAAAGAAAAAAAACTCCGTTATCATCGTAGATCGTGAAATATGAAATGTCGATATTTTCATTAATCAACTTCATTCTCATCAACAACTATATCCTGCTAAACGATTCATTGAATTTTGAAAAGTTCTCTTTTTTTTTTTCTTCTTCTTCTTTTTCTTCCTTCTTTTTTAATTACCATTATTGTTTGTCTTTTCTTTTATTTTTATTTTTATTTTTATTTTTATTTTTATTTTTTGTGTTTCTTTTTTTTCTTTCTTTTTTTTTTTTCTTTTCCTTTAATTTTTGTCTCTGATTTCTACAGAAATTTTTTACGATAGCATC